TGTTGTAGGAATAAATACAGGATAATAATTTAATGCCTTACTAAAATGAAAGTTATCCTAAAGATTATGAGGCTCATTTCTTCTGCCTTCAAAGAAAGAATTTTTTGATTAATGAACTGAAGATTTTGAAGAGGCTGGTGCTGGCTAGCTGGGTACACTCTGTATGAGACTGCAGCTATCGAAGTTTCTTAGGAAATGAATCAATATTTAATGACACTGGGAGCAAGAGATCATCCTGTGCTCAGATTTGGTGTATAATTAGAAATTTCACATCAGTAAAATCCTTTATAGTGTCAGGGAGATTTAACCAGCAAAGACGTGATCCAAAGCATGAGATTTTCTAGATTTGTGTCAGTAACCTGCACGATACAAGCTCCATCTCCTTTTTATCAAAGTATCAGAGAAAATATCCACATGTGGGAAAAAAAAAAAAAAAAAACAACCCAAAACATCCTCCACACATGCTCAAACCTCAGACAACAGAGTATTTGCACTGAAGAAAGGGGGATTAATGTTACCAACCTGAGGATGCATTACTGGCCAGGTGTGCTGTGGGCTGTGCCAATATGGGGCAGGCAGGGTGATGAAGGACCCATCCCCTAACTTCCCTAACAAATGAACTTGTAGTCGTCTATGGGACGAGGGCTAGAAAATTAGCTAGGTGTGTTTTGTTGGTACTTCTGTCTGGTTTTTTAATTAAGAAACAAGGATGCTGTGGAATAGTTTAAATATTCATTATTTACCCATGAACCAAAGTGTTTTGAACTATTCCTCAACAGACAGGTATAAATCTGTTAATGTGTTTAGGAACTTGAACAAAAGTGTTGCTTCGAAGGTGTCTCACACTGGAATAGTTCCATTATATGCTAAGGGTATTATCTGATACATTCAGGACGAAGTAGGAAGGGCTATTTCCTGCACATGTGGTAAGAAAATCCAGCTATTCCAGGCTCCAGAAAAATTATATGCTCCCACATAAAGAATTCAGCTTCCTTTCCTCAGATCTATTTTCTTTTCCTTTCTTTAAAAGAGCCACCCTAATGGCTTTATATGTTCACTTAAAACAAAAAGCATTACTGAAGGTAGAGAATATGAAAAATTGTGTTTAAGTACTGATTCTCACTGGAGATGAATGTGATGACAAACTTCAAAAGAGGAGCAGGAATATACCTATGCTACCATAATGGCCTTTCCCGTGATCGAGTAGAATGTCAAGGTTTCACCCTCATATGAGGGGTTCCATCCTCGTAAGCCCCCATCAGTAAGGAAGTCTTATTCCCTTCACCCTGTAGGTCATGAACTGATACACACCATGTACGCCTGAATCCCCAGAGTCAGAAAGGAGATGAGTGGTGGAGGCGGCAGTTCAGCATGGTCTCCTGAGACCCAGGCTGCAACATAAGAACCAGACCATCTCTTTTATGTAGAAAAAGTTCAGTTAGCTTTGAAGAAATCCACAGTTAATCACAAAAGATCAGACAGGTTGTTTAAATACCACAAGAAGGGCTTTTATTGTGTTGGATGTGTAGATAGCATTGCATTTACAAGAATTTGAATAGATAGGCTTGCCCATGGCAGGAAAGGGAGTGCTTTACATAATCAGCCCCAGTGAGGGGATGACCATCCTACAGCAGAGTTAGCAGGCACAGCTTTATACCAGCTGATAAAGCTGGATTGTTTTTTATAAGGGCTATTCTTATTCCTTTTTCCTATCCTTTCAACGAGGCAGAACAGGCTAGGACTGAACAAAAAAAAATTTACAGAGCAGCTGCACTGTTAAAAATAATAGGTTAGGAGCTTAGTCTCGCTCAAGGGGAGGCTGTGCAGCACCCGGGGAAGTTGCTTTTTCCCTTTCTGGTTGCATTTCCCACGCTTCAAGTAAGGGAGGGTGGGCTAGGGTAGCCAATAGAACCACATGTAATATCAAATTTGTATCTTAGTTATGTTTTCCTTTGGAGAGAGGTAGGTGTGACTGTGAATAAAGATTCTTAATTCTGGTTAAGTAACATCTAATGGAACATAATTTTAAAAGATAGTTATGATAAAAATTAAGACTAGTGAGTGTGAACTGTACATGCATCTTTTGGCTGTTTTCAAAGCTCAATTATTTAAGGACAATCAGTAAATACGGATTATAGTTATTAGAATGGTAAGATCTCTGGTGGTCTTCATGCAGCTCCTGACATGGGAGTGCACAATAATTTTGGAAGGACTTGGCAGGAGAAAAGATTATCTTTTTATGGGCTTACTAACTTTTTCTGAGGAGTGGAGGGAAGAAGACAGCTGGTAAAGGTGAAGAGATATATGGGAGGCCAGTGCTGTATCTTTCCTAAAGAAGGAAATTTTGGAACGTTTCCTGGGTGGGGGTGAGTATAAATTCTTTTTGACTTTGTGTTTTCTGTGTTCTCTGTGGAAGAATCTTGCTTTCATTTGGCTCTCAATGCTGGACTGAAACTAGGAAGACTTTGTACAATATATAGATGTTATTTCTTTGATACACACATCCCTGTTTGCTAGCTACAGATCACTTTTGCTGGAAGTTTCCCAGGAGTATTTTCTTATTCCTTCCTTAAGGCTGATAAAGAAGATAGTCTTTTAGATAGCAGGGAAACGGTATGCACCATTACTTCTATATTCTAGCTTTTATCACTTTGAGGAAAAAGTACCTTTAATCTCCCAAAGTGCAGTAAGCAGAATAACATACGGCAATTCAAAAATTGAGGACTAAGTAAAACTTGGGTTCAGCCAAGCACGATGGAAGAAGCTAGAAGACAAATTTCAACCCAAATGAAAGGTATATTCTGCAACAAAACGCTTAGCTTGAGGTCAACAAATTATTTGAGAGTTGGTTAAACGCTTGGCTCATTAGAGATTGTGTTACATTCAGCTGTGCATGGATAAATGGGGCCATAGTCACACTTGTTTTCTCTCCACCTTATCGAAAGCAGCTTTAAATTTGGCTCAGAGCAGAGAGGTGTGAAAGAGGTCAGGTAAGTCACGTCATGGGAGATGAGGGTCCTGCTCCCTCGTTCTGCCGCAGCTGCCTTCGAGGTCACTGAAGGAACAGTGTCTGTGTGGCACCTTCCAAAATATTTATGAATGGTTTAAGCTCGTGCCTGCCGAGGTTTTTCTCAGAGCTTTAGGTGAGTAGATGAGAGCTTTAGCTGGGGAGCACTTCGCCCTCCCTGGTGCAGCGGTTGCATCTGAATTGTTTCGCGCTTTTTTTTTTTTCTTCCATAAAGCTTCACTTCTGCCGTTAGTGAGGTGTTGGTAGAAGTCAAGGAGTTGTGGTGTAAGCGCTGTTAGTTACGTTACCGGTCAATTCTGAGCTTTCTTTCCGGTAGTTTTCTATTTGCTTCCTGAACTGAATGTTCTTCAGTCCCCTGAAGGGGGGATGACACCCTCCGAGGTCCCCACACGCCGAGCAGCCGTTTCTGCGCTGCGCCGCCCTCCGCCGCGCCGGGACAGCCGGGGGCGCGGGGCACG